GTTTAGAATATCAAACGAAGCATAAATGACGAGATCAAAAACCTTCCCGATATGTTCATTTCCAATATTTACAATATCGGATTTTGCTGGAAAGGTTTTTGATCTCCTGTAATGCTAATTATGGACATCGTATCGTACCGCACGGTAGAGCCTTATTTAAGGTTACGAAGAGACGGTATAGGGTTCTCAATCATTACTCATCGAGTAATGTGCAGCGCTGACTTGTAGGAATGAAGGAGGAGGTATGATCTGTGATCAGCCTGCCAAGTACTCTCTGTCTGTCAATCGACAGCGAAATCTTGGCTGTCTGTCAGTTCTTAATTGGAAACTACCAGGGAAAAGCACACATAAGCTGAAAGGGCACACAGCACGGGCAAATCAGCTAGTACTGACTCATTGACAAATTCTTAAATTTTCGCTCTCGTAAACTTAGGGCGGATGTTTCGCAGTGTGATTACGCAACCTTATGCTTTCTATGAAGAATAAACCATACTAATATCCACCATCGGAGGTATGATTTTCTGGATGTCATGAGCACGCCAAATAAGGCCAAGGCAAAGTGTAGCAAAAGTCAAGAGTTCAAAAATTGGGTGGTTTCGGAATGGGTGTTCTTATCGACTAATTTTTTCAATAACTTTTAGTCTATTGAAATCAAGCTAGTGTGAAATGTTTCTATATATTTTCAATTAGCCTTACCTTGCATAAGCATTAGTTAGAAAGAATAAGAGAAAGCGGAAATTCTGCTTCTTTTATTGCTTAACATTAAAGGAAGGCACACTTATTTAACAATCAAGTGTATGTGCTGATGATGGTCAGCTAGTCGTTCGCAGGACAATGAACATCTCCGCCTTAGCTATATCTTTCCTAGGGTTATCGCATCCATGACAAATGCTCTGACTGCAAATGAAAAATTAATTCTATGCTGTCATGGTGACCCAGAAATTGACAAGGACTGCGCGGAGAAGTACTGTCAGATTCCGTCGATAGCTCCTCATATGGTACGTCTTTTCTGTTCGCGTTGCATTGATAGCTAATTAAATTCTCAAAAAGCAGAAATTTATCTAACAGAACTTTTGAAGAGTAATGGAAAGAATTGCTTACTGCCATATTTATTTCTCTCTCATCAAAGCAGTTGCTGTAAAGCCTCCAAATTTTATGTCTCGTAGACATCAATAATGCAAGGTACTCAAAAAAACT